ATTTTCTGGAGACAAAAATCTTGAGCAAAATGTCCCCATAAATAACAAAGACACAATTCTCCATTCCTCTACCACTTCAAAATTTCATTATTCTCATTTAAATTGCTTACTTTGGATGTTATTCCTCAACGGATCATGGGTGGTGGTTCGTTCTCCAGACATTTCTACCAGGCTCATCTGAGCACTAACAAGAAGGACCTAGTGTTTGACTGTCCACTATGTCTTTCAAGCTGACATTGTTGCTATATCCATGAACTCATTATTTATTATTTTAATCGCAAATGTTTTTTCACCAAGGTCTGTCCATGAATCAAGACATGGATGCTTTTTCAATTTATGGTAGAAAATTACCAATTACCATCCTCAGCTCCATCAACCTGTTTCAAAGCCTCATTCGATTCCATCCCGGAGTGAGGCGACAAGTACAGTTCCCGTCAGCTTTGTGGATTGGCAACACCCCCTTGAAGATCTCTTTCCTTCTCCCTTTCACCCAGGTCAGAATCAACTCTCCTCCATCACGGACGCGATACCTTTGTCGGGCCCCTCTAGAGCTTGGAACCCCTCTCTTAGAAGACCCCTTACCTACTCTGAAACAACTAATTTTATCAACCAATCATTCGTTCTCCATTCAACCTTTCTGGCTCCTCTGGGCCTTACAAGATTGTCTGGTGTCCCTCACTGTTGGGGACCTTCTCCATGTCCTCTTTTTACAAAAATCTATTTAAGCTACCCACTTTCCATCTCTCTCCCACCTCAGTTATAGCCCAAGCTTGGTCCTCCATTGCAACTCCAAAAATCCAAGTCTTTAATTAGATAGAGTTGTCAGAAAGGACCTTCACGGTCAACCAGCTTCAAGGGAGAGAGGGCTGGCTATTCCCAATAGGTGCATAATGTGCTTGGCCAATGACGAAAGCAATACCCAGCTATTCTTACACTGCTCTTTGGCCCATGAGATTTGGGGTGCTATTGGCGAGCTGTGCAATTGGCGATGGGTAACCCTGCAGCCCATCCCAGCTCTCGTTAGCTCTCGTCAACCCTTCCCTTGGCCCAAAGCCAGTAACCACTTGTGGAAGGCCTCAGTAGCAGCAACCCTATGGGTCATCTGGACTAAAAGAAATAACAGAATTTTCGTGGAGAAAAGTGCACGCCAGCTTCCATATTCGATAAAATCAGATCTCTAGTCATCTTTTGGGCGACCAACCATAAATGATTCAAGGGTTCACCTCAAGCAGTGGGCAAGTCGTACTGTTTACGAGACTGCTACGAACCCCCAGTGCCTCCCGGTGGTCTCCACCTCCTCTTGGACAGACCAAACACAATTTCGATGGTTGCTTTCTTGGCAACCCAGGTCCTGCAGGGACTGGTGGCATCTTTTGGGGATTATGAGGGCCATACTCTTACCTCTTTCTCTAAACACATTAGCCACACGAATTCCCAATTGGCTGAGGCCATTGCTCTCCTAGAAGGCATCAAAGTGTTCAACGCCCATTGGAGCCAGTCTTTAGTCATAGAGGGAGATTTTATGAACATTATTCGATGGGCCTCAGGCTCCTCTCCATGCCCCTGGCGTCTTACCCATGTGTTTGACAAAATTGCTCACATCCACTGGCATATAGGCATTTCATGGAGGCATATCTAGCTGGAGGCCAACATAGAGGCTGACACCCTCGCCAAGGACGGACCCTACAGAAGCACAGCATGACTCCCTTGAATCCTCACCTTCACTCTGAGAGGATATTTTTTGCATCGATCTGTCTATACTAACCTTATTGATGAATTTTTGTACGAGGCAACCTAGCCAGAGTTAGCCTCTACACTTTTTGGTATATAACTCCAACTTGGACGGAGCTCTTGTAACTCTCTTTACCTTTATAGTATAGAACGGTTAACAGCTTCCAAAAAAAATAAAATTTATCTATTACCATTTTGCCAAAGCTTCTCTTATAGGTACAATGGAGCTTTTGTCAAAACTAAGACATATCAAAGAATATTTAGATTGATCATGTATTAGTTAGAAAAAGGAGTCACGAAACCCATGGGGGAAATGGGGTCATCAATATTACATGCCATAGGCTTATGATTCATAAGACTAGGAGGCCATTATTCAAGTATGGGCACTGCAGCTAATTTAGAGACCAGTAAACAATATTGGTACGCGGGTGCTTGTAGTCTGCCAATTTCTCATCCTTGTGGTATGCCAGTTTCTAATCTACATTTGGTGGAGTATCCTGCAGCTCCTTTAAGGCATCAAGGGGCCTGCAGCAACGAGACCCTCTATTGCCAATCTCTGTTATTTGAGCAGAGCTGTTTATGCAAGCATATTAATTACCTAGTAATGGAAGGAAAAATTAAACCCCGTATGTTGTCTCATTTGCCTTTAGCAGATGATATAATCCTCTTCATGGAAGGGGTCAAGAGGTAGATTTCCGAGATTGAGAACTTTATTATAGATTATGAAGTAGTGTCATGCCAGAGATTTAACTTGGGGAACAACAATCTCATGGTGGGAAGGATACAAAATCACAGAGCTAGGATAATTTATAGATGGCTCAAAATGATCAAATTTATAAGGGAAGGCTACCAGATTAATATATTGGTGTCCCTCTTTCATGTGAAGATTCAAATCATCTTCCATTAACATCCATGTGGAAGACTCGAGATTAAGACCAGCACATACTCTGAAGCATTCCCACGTTTCACCTCGCAAATTTTCTGATCCCAAAGTTAACATTTCTCAAAAAAATGTCTGATCCCAAACTATGGCTTAAATACATAGATATTTTCATAAATTTATTTTAGTCATGTTCTTTGAGCTGGCAGATGAATCAATAGCTAGCAGCACAACAATTGATAGACCTTGCAAGAAAGGTGGACTTGACGTTCGGTGATGGAAGAATGTTAATGGTGGTGACTTGATAAGGCATAAGGAAAATAATAGCATAGTAGTCACTTAGGATTAATCTTTCTGGCCTTAATATGTGAAAAAGCCGTACTTTTGGCACCTCTATATGAATCTACTCAGACTTAGTATGGAAAGGACAAATTTCTGTTTTTGTAAAGATACATAAGAACATATTTTATCTTAGCATTTGTGCCCATTTTTCCTTCTCATGTATTCCACGTGTTGCTTATGCACTGGACTTCATCATAAATGCAGATAAGCGAGGTACTATTGCCAATGTATGATGTTAAATAATGTAAGGAAGATGCTACAAAGCCTAAGAAACACTTCTTCCAAACTCTTCATGCTCTAGTATCTACTGCCTTTTCTAGTCATCAATTAAGCAGATCTTTTCACAATTACGCACTGAATGCTAATGCATTTGAAATGAATTGTTCACAATGGTAAGACAGTGTGGTTTTGGGAGGATAACAGCACTATATTTGGATTATAATAAGCTTCACAGAGTAGAAGTACATGGATTTTGATGTCAAAGCCTGATTTCTTCAGCACTACAATAATGGCATGATCAAATAATAAACTCATTGACTGCACTCCAGCAAGCCCCATATGATGACCAGTTCATCTGGACCTATTAAATGAATGGCCATCTGATTTCTCCTTCAAGTCATCCAGGGATGCAACAAGTGTGCAAAAACAACGCATTGCACCAGATCTTTGCATCATAGTAAGCTATATGGAAAAATTTTATTCTCCCTAATGGTAATATTATGTTGGCATCACTGTCAAGTAGAGTGAGAGTGGAAATGAAATAAGTCCCAATGCAATTCGATGTTGTCTATGATGTTAAGCCAGAGCCGAAGAATCTATTGAAGATGTATTGATGTATTGCCAAATGCCAATAAATCCGACAAATATGGGTCTATATCTGAGAATCTATGGGGCCAACACAAAAACTAATATGGTTTACCTCCAAAGAAACCATGGTAACACCGAGCGAGTCAAATTGATTTCATGGCAAATATGCATTACAAGAAAGTCCTTTTTCAGCATAATCATGTGTCAACTAGCTAATATTATAATGAAGTAAGGGCCACCAAGGTCCAGTGACATAGTGATCTTTACAAGTAATCAGGGTCGTGCACCCAAAATAATGACAGTTTATGTTGTAGTTCAGGGACAGGTGCATTTTTTTAATAATTCAGGTTGGTAAAAAGGTGGAGGCCTAGTCCAGAACCACCATAACCAGTGGCTCTTCACTTATTCTCATGTCCACAATGGACAGATTTTTGTGGCTGAGTTGAAAAGTGCTGCAATCTCAATGTTACATAGAATGCAACTTGCTAAGCCTTTTAGTAGCAAGGGAAAAAATCGATTGTCAAATGGAAATGATCTCCATGGTAGAATTTCTAGTGGCCGATCTCCTGCATGTGTGATTTTTCTAGCTTAAGCAAGATATTACCTCATACATTGCAGCAAATTCAAGAGCAAGATTGCTATCACTATCCAAATTCTAATGGTTTGTTGAATTATACTCACTTTTTACTCCCCTATCCTGCTGCAGCCAGGGATCCCTTGAGTATATACCTTAGCCTTCAAAATCATTCAATAACTACCGAAAAAAAAATTAGTTTATGTTATAATTATTTACTGACTACCCAAAAAACTAGAAAAAAAGGGTTTGAACTAATAAAGAGCATTGTAGGCATTACAAGAGTCATGATATTCCATCCATAAAGTAGTATCTAGTTTCAAATAAAATTTTGATGTTAGAAAACACGCAACCTCCTTCCTCCATGTGTGAAGATAGATAGGAAATGTTGCAATAGATGAAAAATGTTATGATGGATTCACTTCAAAAACATATTTCTAATTATATAAAAAATTTTGCATGAATATATCAAGACTGTAAAATGACTTTATCTACCAAACATGTTGACAAAATGTATAATGTTTTAAGCCATAACCTAGAAAACTGCATAAAACATTTGCCAAAAAATTTAACAGGTCTTTCCACAAACAGAGCGTAAACAGTAACTCAAATAAAAAATTTAACATGTTGAAAGACATAAGGCTCTCAAGAATAATACAAACTGAATCAGTGAAATGCAAATACCTGATATTCAATGAACCAACAACATCAGGCACAATGACTCCAGCAAGTTACATGTGAAGCTCTTTCATGAATTTTAATAACAAAAAACTATGAAATTATTTCTTATTCAAGAAAACAAAAAAAACTATAAAATTACTTTTTGCTCTAAACAGAGCAAACTTTGAGCTTATGTTATTAGGATTCGCAAGTGATTGGTTGATAAGCTAAAACACCAGTGATCAAATAAGGAATAGCTGTCAACTTATCTTTCTTGCCACTCTTCACATTGCACATTATATATCTCATCCAATTGTGCAAAATCAACGTTTCTCCAATCCAGAGAGCTGGGTAAACATTCTTGATCATCAATTGCTTCAAATCCGCTTTCATAACATTCACTTCTACCCATTTCCTCTTTTCACTTAAAACCCATATCTTTGCCCTCAAATATCGAGTCACTAGCAACAAGCAAAGCTTGCGATCGCGCTCTTGGACTCTGGCGAATCCCTTTACTACCGTAACTGGAGTATCAATACTTTCCCATTCTTCTCTCTCCATATCAAAAGCCATTGGAAGGTGCACCTTGCCGGAAAATACATAACAAGTGGACCCAATGCATACTGAGATCTTTTGTTTTTGCAGTTGAATTTGTGGCAGTGGTCTCCAATTCCTGATCGAAGAATTAAATAATTGAAATGTGCTTAAACCATGGTTTTCTTGGGATGCATAAGTAGAAGTATCAGCCAATATCTTGAAGTTTTGAGTGATGGGGTTATAAAAGAACCCAAAATTAAGAACATTGAAATCAAGCTTTGGAAGAGGGGTGAATTCCTTATGGGTTATTGGGTTTCCAAGGGTAAAGACATTACTGCTTTCTGATACCATCAAGGAGCATACCATGCCATTACTAGAGGCCACCCACTCTAGGTCTTCATGTGAAAGGAAGGCTCTCTTATAGTAAAGTGGACGGACTATATCAGAAGGGCATAAAGAGGGCTGACTATATCAGAAGAGCAAGCAAAGAACATTTGGTTACCATGAACGCAGTGTCTGATAAAGAGAGAGAAGGGTTGAAGAAGCAAAGAAAAGGAGAGAGAGTGGATTCGTGCAAAATGATGGGAGGAAAGAAATGGTACCATGATTGAGAAACGGCCTTGAATCTGGATATGGACTTCATATGGACTTCAAGGGCAAGGCCGTGAGGATCTCTGTCATCACATCGCCTGGGAGGACGCAGAACAGCGATTCCATCTCTCCTTCTCTTTCTCTACAAGCAATTCACAACTCTCCTAGTCTCTCCATAAACAATTGAGAAGAATGAAAAGGATTCAACCCTTGGTGTGGTGCCATTTATTGAATAGTAGGGAATCAGAACACGTATGTCTCTTACAAGTAACTCAAAATTGGTATATGGACCTTAAAGGCTGACCCGATTAGCCCGACCTAAAAGAATTAAGCCTGGGGCTACGGCCTAAGGGCTAGCCAACTATGATTTGTGGGTCGGCCCCGATGGGCCTAGACAAGAGCAGAGATGGCCGAGTGGCTCAAGGCGCAGTATTGGAACTGTTGTAGGCTTTTTGTTTACCTGAGTCGAAACCATCTCTTTTCATACCTTCATCAAATTTACCAATGTTATCAAGGACAATGTATCAAATGCCAATCAAATTCCTTTATTTTTAGGGTGCAGTCTGTATAGAGAGCTTACCTTCAAATAGTATCAAGACATATGGTTTTAATACAGAAAATCTTTGTGATAGTTTTAAAATATATTTTAATATTTATTTATAAAGTTTAAAGCTTAAAAAATAGTGTAGATCGACAGATCTATGAAAACTTGAAAGTATCGAAAATTGACAGTCTAAAAATGCTTTATAAAATGCACTGTTTCCAAAACTTGAAATCTATTTTTTTCTCATGTCCATCCATTTTGACATCGAGATGATCAATTTGAAGAGATTTGAGCATCAAAACAATTTCTTTTAGTGAAATATTTGATGTAGGTTCAAATGTGATTGTTTAAAGCCTCAGCTCTATACAAACTTTTCCCTTATTCTTATAGCAATACATTTCTTTGGGTACAATTTGTATAGAGCCTAGGCTGTAAACAATCAAATTAGAGCCTACCTTCAAATAGTGTTGAGAAATGTGGTTTCAATACTAGAAATCTTTGTAAGAGCTTTAAAATACATTTTCATCTTTATTTATAAAGTTTCAAGCATCAAAAATAGTATCTATGAAAACTTGAAAATCTTGAAAATTAACAATAAAAAAATGCATTACAAAATACACTATTTTCAAAACTTAAAATCTATTTTTTTCTCATGTCCATGTATCTTGATATTGAGCTCATCAATTTGATGATATCTAGACATCAAAACAACCTTTTCTAGTAAATTGTTTGTGGTAGGCCCAAACTTGATCGTTTAGATCCTCGGCTCTATATAAACTTTTCCCTTCTTTTATAGATATATAAATTTTCTATCCCTTCTGCTGCTTGGTTGTGGTACGGAAAAGATAAAAATAAGAGGGAAGGAATGGACAAGGAATGAGCGATCCAATAGTGTGTTATGTTTTGGGTAAGTAGGAGAAAAATCTCGATCAGACCCGTTAGCCTTATATGAATCTTTTTATGTTTTTTCATCGAAAAGAGGAAGTGGAAAAAGTGTCCAAAGCTTTCTTATTCCTTATTTTAGGTTTAAGTCTAATGAGAATAATATTTTACAGACTAACGATTAATTGATTTTCAAACGGATCCATCAACTTTATTTGGCCCAACCCTCTTTTTCTATGTTTTTACTTTTATTTTTTTATTTTATGTGGTCCCAGGCTAGCTTGGCTTGGCCCCCATAGGACTAAGGGTCGGCCACGGCTTGGCAGGCTAGTTGCTGGCCCAGCAATTGTTACAATTAACCAAAATATACGCTGCACTTGGAAAAGTAATATCTCAATATTTAATAGAGACGATCCAATTTTTAAATAATGTGATCTAAGTGTCAGAAAACTCAAAATTCATATTCTATTTTTTAATTTTTTTTTAAAATAATGATGTAGTGTTTATTAGGTGATTCCCAAATTTTCAAATTGAAAATATCATCCCAAGGAAGTCTTCTATAGCCAACGGTGCAGACATACACTATGCTCCTTCCCCTCAGCAATTAATAAAGAGTCTACCCGGTCACCAATTACTAAAGGCAAAAACTGTCAGACAGCCCATGTGCCGAGCATCCAGGGAGTGGGGTCCATCCTTACGCAAAGTACATTCAGTTTGGTGAATCTTAAACGGCGATTTTTACATGTAGTTTACCCAAATAAAAGACGATTTTTATATGTAAGAACTAAAGCGACCAGCCTGAAAAAAGGAAAAAGTAAATTGCAAGCTTGTCCTTTACAAATTTTGTTATTATAAAAATTCTTTCTAAAGTTCAAAATTTACATTTGCACCCAATCTCTTTTTTTCTCCCTCTTTTATTTTTGAAATTGCCCTTTACAAGATTTCAAAGTTTGAAACTTATTTGGAATTTTCAGAGTCTTCAAAATCTGAAAGTTCATTTACCCAATTTCGCAATTTTCCTCCAGAAGTAGGGCCAAGAGAATTTTGGGATTTTTAAAATCCAAAAGGATTTTTGCATTTTGAAAATTCAAAAATAGAAGTGGAAAAATAAAATTTAAAAGTTTCAGATTTTCAAAATCTAAATATGCTTCTGGCCCTATGTGACTGAGGGTTAAAGCATTTTTGGAATTCGGGTTCAGGCCCCAAAGGCATCTGACTAGGCCTCGATAGACTGGGTTACAAGCCCCAAAGAGGCCCCCAAGTGTCAACCGATTTGAACCTCGGGGAAGCAACTCATATGTCCAAAAAGGGCTCCAACTGTTAAACCAAAACAACTTCTATTGGATTAGGAAGGAAGCCATTAAACAAGGCCTCCATCAGTGGAAGTTTTGTTGGATTAGGAAGGAAGCCATTAAACAAGACCTCCATCAGTGGAACCAAAATTGAAGCCTAGTGAATCAGGGAGGAAGGTCCCACTGGCTCCGACCACTAGACCTTCTTGAAATTCTGACTGATTGGAAATGAAGCTCTTATGAAAGGCCCCAGACTGTCAGACTAATTCAGATTATGACAAGATGGGTGCATAAACCCTTGACAAGATGAGTTCATAAACCCTTAAGCAAGACCCCAGTTCTTGGAACCAAAAATACCCTCAACAATGATTTACTCCCAAAGGTCATGTTGATGATGTTATTTGGGAAGATTAACATTGGAAGAAAATAATGACACCCCAATAAGGATTCAAAAGATGAATTTGGGCGATTTTGTTCCGAATGTCACGTTTTTCTCTCCTCACAAAGAGAGACATTCGGTGGGCAAGCTATTATCGAGTATTTTTGACACACTTGTTTCCCCCAAGATGAATAAAAGAGGAGGCAGTCGCAACCAAGATCCGTAGGTACCCGACATTCCTATGGACTACAGAAGCCTACACGTGAATAAGCCTTATTTTGAAGAGCAATGGTAATGGTGTCATCTTGGCCCAAAAAGATGTATAAGAGCCTCTTATGATGTCCCAAGAGCATCCCTCAAGTTTCGTGAAAATCTGATAAAAATATGAGGGAACATGCGAAGAATTTGAACTGTAACTCTTAAATGTGCCCAAGCAACCTCATAACTAGAGACCTATAATAGTGATCTCTGACGATGGTCAGACCACCAATGACGAATTCATAAGGCTACGAAAAGTTTAACCTACAAATTTTAGCTGGATTGGACATTTCTAGATCAGACTTTCCCAAAATAGCGAGGCCTTCCACTCTTCACCTGCAACTACCAAGAATTAATTTACATTTATGGAAACTACGATTTTAAAAAATGGGCATTCTTGTGAGAGTCATATCTCCTTTGTCCTAAGGCCAATCAAGCCAAAATTTTAGTATGTCATTCCCTTCATCAAGAGGAACGTTTTGACATATGGCACGTCTTGAGGAGATACTCGAAATGGGAAAAATACTATAGATAAGATTGCTCAAAAGTGTATAATGCAAAATTTTAAATGCAAGACCTCTCCTCGCTTTGTTGGGCGTTTCTCAAAGCCCTGAGATCGAATGACCCCAAGAACGGACCCATTGCGATCGTGACTTGAAAGTATCGATTTGAGGTAAGATTTGCTTGCAGTGAAGGCTGGGAAGACACCAAACCAAAGCTCTAAAAAAGTCAAGATTCTTCGGTTGTCAGAAAATCATTTTTTGGCAACTCCCAAGAATTATAAAGTGAACAATCGGAGTCCAAATAATGTGATATTTGTTCCAAAACGATTACGACGATTTCCTCTTCGATTAACGACAAAAAAGAATACCAAAGATGCGACAGATAGAGCTAGATCTAAGATTCAATAATTCAAGTTTATTAACGACAAAAAAGAATACCAAAGATGCAACAGATAGAGCTAGATCTATGATTCAATAATTCAAGTTTGTGTCTTTGGCTGGAATTTTGAAACCATAAGCGAAACTGCATGTCAAGATGCAAATCATTTATCAAAACAATCATCTCGGAATAATCTACGTTTCTACAATGATAGATCGCCCAAAATATTGCTGAATAGCAACGAAAAACGGCCCGAACCATATGGAAGAGAAAGTGCTCCTTTTAGAGTAACTAATTTATTATTTCCATTCTTTGTTAGGGTCAAAACTGTTCATTTTCACCTAATTTTTTGATTTACTTTTTATTCATGTAATTTCTATTTTTAAGCAATTAGGTTAGCTTTTGAGTGTGCACCCTTGTTTAAGGGGTAGTTCTATGTAAGAAAACCACATGAAAGTCGTAATAAATTTTTCAAGATTGAGTATTTACTATTAAATTTGAGCTAAAATTGAATGGAATGCTTCCCGGCTTCACTCAAGAAAGATTAGGGAGAAAAGTTTTGTCCCTTAAGAGAATACGCCTACCCACCACGCACCATACTCCTTACCGTGTATCATACACCCTACTCCCTAGCCCAAACCATACATCACCCCCTAGTCCCTACAATATACCCTATTCCTTGCCATAAACCATACATCACCCCCTCGTCCCTACCTTAAATTATACACCCTACTCCCTACCTCAAACCATACACCCTACTCCCTAGTCCTACACCCACCTAAACCTCGCACAAGGTGCCGGGCTTACCGTCATAGGTCCAGGTCCTTCTCCCTTCTCTTCTCTCTCTCTTCTCCCTCTCTACTATTCTTTCTCTCTCTTTCTCTCTCTCTCTTTCTCCCCCTCTCTCAGACCGGCGGCCAAGTCATCGCCCTCCCTCTCTCTATCAGACAGTCGTCGCCCTCCTTCTTTCCCTCTCTCTCTGTCCCTCTTCCTCCAGACCAGCAGCCAAGTCGTCGGCCCCTCTATCCCTTTATCTCTATTTATCTCTCTCTCTTCCCTCCAGACAAGTGGCCAAGCCGCTGGCCCCTCTGTCCCTCTATCTCTATTTCTCACTCTCTCTTCCCTCCAGACTAGCGGCCAAGCTATTGGCCCCTCTGTCCTTCTCTCTATTTCTCTCTCCATACTGATGGCCAAG